TATATATATGGACAGATAGATGACAGAATCATTCAGGTACTCTAATGCTTCTCCATGTACAATACTCTGTTCTTTTTTTTTCTAACTACCGATTGCCCAATTCATCAGGTTTTTCTTTCCTCTACCGTCTCTTTGTTATTTTCTTTGTTTTTTATCTTTTTCATTTGCCCAGTAAATTACGACAGGTGCAAAAAAAAAAACATGTAAATACTTTTTTTTGATTTCAACTCCTAAAGGAAAAGATGAATCACTTTTGGGCCAATCAAAGTTTGATAAATTAACGTTTTTCTGAACAGGGTAATTGGAGCTGTTTTGTCCGGTATTTGTTCACAAATGTGCTCACAGTACTAAATTCTGCCACTTCTTGAACATAATTATGGTTTATAGCTATAATTAGTATACGCTATATTTTTTACATCAAAACTTTTTCACATTTCTCTACCGTCAAACATTATAGTTCCAGAATGTGTTTTATGCTATATGTGACGTTTACCCTTTTTACTTCTGGTTTCTTTCTATTCTAGTAGATTAATCGGCTGCTATAATTCAGATTTTTTTTGCCGTTAAACGATGTTTTGGGAGTCGTCATTGGCGCCTCCCACCACAAAAACGCATTTAGAAACACTTCTTGATGGTGAAAAGATCTTGCTTGATGAGGTTCTTGATGATCCCTTGACTTTGCAGGAAATCAGAAACGGCAACGAGAAATTGCTGAAGTTGTAGGTTTTTTTGTTCTCAGTTTCTTCATCTCTGGTAAACTGCATGGTGTTAGTAAAACAATAGGGTGTTTTTATGGTCATTGTAAACTTTAGACCTGTTATTTCTTTTAGTCTCGCATTAACAAGTACAGTCGAAGAATTGATCACTGGGGCGCTTTTACCGAAAATAAATGAAAGTTTGCCGCAAAAAGAGCAGTATAGGTTAGTCTTAGCTTGTTTGAAGATATGGCTTTTGATTTTTAAAACTTTTTGATTTCCTTACGGTGACCGTGGGTGTCACTGAAGAACATTTTTCTGTCCAAACCTTCATTCGTTGCTATTTGGTTGCAGCAGTGAATCTAGCTGCTTAAATAAAAGTGAGCTTGTATTGTTGTTCGCAATTCTTTGTTATTTTGTAGTCTTCTCGTTCTCGATTTATATTAGAAGATTCTATAGAAAGTTTTTTTTATTATACAGAAGGGCTTATCAGTGTACTGAAGTGATCTCACTGGCAAGTGATGAAATGTGCCTAGCTATGCTGAACAATGACAAAACAAGTGAAATTATAACAGATTTTTTCCGGATAGCCAAGCTGAACAATTTGCTTGTTAGCTTTTATGCCAAGGTTATTACGCATCTTTTGGATAGGCAGTGTGATAAGGTTAGTACTATGTGACTTTTTTCATTTAGGATAATTGTGGTTATGCAGTTCTGTGCAATTCACTCTTCGTTGTTGATTATTTACCTCCTGCTCTTATGTCCACATTGTTGGATAAGATTCATATGATTATTTAATTTTTACTGAAGAGGAAGTTCTGACTTAGTTGTTTGGAAGCAACTGGTAATTAAATGTAATCTTATTTCATAATTAATAAGAAAACAACAAATTTGCTAGACAGAGAACTTTTAGGGTGTATCTTCGCGATTTGAAAAGTCTTTGGATGTGCATTGAGATTTTTTTTTTGACTTTTATAAAATGAGGGGAATAAGAGAAAGGACGGTAAGCTTTTTTTAATATTAGGCTGTACAATAAGTTGTCGTATATTTGATTTTTTTTATAGGAAAGATGATTTTAGGAAGTCGAGAGTATGAAATAAAAAATTTTTCTTTTAGGAGAACCAAATTTCACATTATTTTTTGTCTTTCTTTTAGTCGAAAAAATTATTCAATGGAAAAACGTCTTAAAGGTATCTTTCCCGCCATGCAGTGTCGACTATCAATACTTAATTGGTGTCGTAAATTTTAACTAAATGATGATGTTTTTTGAAACTGTTTGAAGACGATTAATTTCTCATCAATTAAATAGGAAAAAGAGTTTATTTTTTTCGTTTCTAATTTTTCTTTTTTCAGACTAAAAGCATTGAGTTTCAAACGCAATTGTGTTATTTTAATCACTTGGAAGTGTTCAGACACTTGTAGCTATGATTCCTTTTAAAAATTGGTTTTTGTACGTTTTTTAATTTACGGTCCTCATCTGTTTCCTTATCTAGTTCATTAATGTTTTTGTTTTTATTTTTCTTTCTAAGGTTTGTTAGTTACGTGGAAGCAGTTTTTTAATTAAAAACTGATTTTTAATCAAATGCTTGCTCTGTTTAAATTTTCGTAGAAGGCTGAGAACGGGCAATAAATTATTTGAGGATTATTCAACCAAAAGTCGGATGACTATTTAATATGAGGAGTTTGTATGGTACCTCAGGTAACTCGAATGTTCTGTTGTCTCTTGGCCTCAAAAAGTATTACGAATATTGAAATATCGAGTCAAAACTATAAAAAGAAATTACTTTTTTTTTTTGCAAAAGGACGTTTTGCATCATAATCTTTTGTGCCGTTCAAAATTATATTGCAACTTTTTCTGCGTGAAATGGTGGTTACTGGTGCAGGGCAGTACAGTTGTGCGTTCGAAAGACTTGCTGTATCCGGTGAGCTATGCCTAAGCAGTCAAATTTTTGGAGAATTGCAGACCGGTCTGGTTCATAAATGGCGTTATTTTAGTTATTGTAGTGTACCTGATAGTATGTTAATGAGGTAGTTAAGACTTGATGGGAGATAACTTACTTTACTTTTTCCTGAGCTGCAGATAATAATTTCAGGGAACTTGATTTTGTTAACCCTTGATTTTTATTTTAGAAGTGATTATCCTGAGTTTTTTAAATATATGATAATTCTTATAATGTTTACACTGTTGAAGTTGAATTTCGCTTTGATCCTAATTTGTTGTAGAAGACAAAGCAGATTTTGTAATGTCAACTTGGTTTGGGTCTCGGAAACAACTTTATATGACCATTGTACATCATTCAATCACATTCTTGCAAAAAAATTTATATTGGTTTTATGTGCTCAACATAGTTTCAGTTGCTCCAGAAGCTGAGGGGAAGTAATTTTTTGTCTCTCTGCTTAAAAAATATGCGTTATTCGGCAGGTGCAGATCTGTTGTACCAAATTAGCAGTGTACCAAAAGAGTTCGGCACACAGGAATTTGTTCGTCAAGTTAGATATCTTTTTAATTTATTTTTTTGCGACTCAAGTAACCAATAGTCTGAAGTCATTATTTCGCTTTGCTTTGTGCTATATTCAGAATTTTCTAGTGGTATGGAGAGAATCATCTCGGCGAATGTTTGTGCGATCTTTTATCTCCTGAAGAGGATATGCTGGTGAATTTTCTTGCCTGTTGTGCACGTTGTAGTGCTTTCATTATAAACTCTGTGAAAATAAGCGTCTTTATGAGCGACTTTTAGGTTCACAACAATGTCAGCTATCTATGGTGCGAATTGCTGGCTACTTTACGTGAGTACCAGTATCAGTATCCTGAAGATAAATTGTCTGATACTATTTTAGAAAGCTTGCAATCAGAAAAAACATTGTGCAAATTATTGGCGGCTATGCTTCCGGCAACTTCCGAGAAACGTTGTGAATCTGTAATATCCAATGCTTCAGCTATATTTATTACTCTTCTTGAGACGAATTACATCCCAGATCGGTATAGCTCATTTTCTGCCATCTCTTCAAGTTTTAATTCATTTTTGAGACATAAACTTCCTTTTTGTTTTCCAACATTATTTTTATTTCCTTCGTCCAACAGCCATTTAGGTTGTACGTTTCCGATACTTTTAAATAAATCAATGCTTTTTTTGGTTGTGAAATGTAATGCTAAGAACCGTATAGCACTGTTGTGTTAGAAGAAAGTTCTACAAGTTTTCACGTTATTTTTTAGATGTTTGTTAACAAATTTTTTTGGTATGCAAAGATTATTGACTTTAAGGCCTAGTTTCCTTCTCGGATTAGATGAGAAATTCGAGCAGTCACATTTTGGCAGAGAACATGCTGCAGGTGATGGGAGATACGATGTTTGGTTACCTGATTCTGGACGTTTTGTGGAGTCATGTTTAGCTAGTGCATTAGATCGACTAGTTGATACAATTCTTGACTCTCTCGAGGTAGCGTATTTGTACTTGTTTACCTTGCGGTGTGGTTGCCTTTAGTGTAAATGTATATTTTGTTTTCATATAATTTTTCAATTTTCTTACTCAGCTTCATTTATAGAAGTTTAATTGTCTTTTTTAGTAATGTTTTTTTCAGACTTCCTCGTCCGACCCTGAAGTTTCGAATGTCTCTTGGTTTTATTTGATGCAAGTTTTTGTGCAGTTACTGAATACAAATTGTAAAATTACGCATGAAACTGCCGTTAAAAAGTTTTCCTCGATGCCTTCTAACCCATTCCAGTCTCTACTTTTACAAGTTTCTTCGCATCCGTTGCTTACGCTCTATCAAGTTTACCTCACTAAATGTATAAAATTCATTTTGAACACAGTTCCGTCTCCAGACCCGTCGCCTCTAATTCCATTCTTGTTGAAGGTTCCTCTTTAGCCTAAAAAGTTATTGATAGACTGTATTGTCGTGATTTAAGACAAGCTGGGAGTTATTTTTGTAAGAACTCTAATTTGCCCAATTTATTTTTTTCAGGACTCTAAAATACTCAGGTTGATTATTGACTTGTATGACAATTCTTTAAAAGAATCCTTGGAACCGTTATGCAGGAAGGCTTTACGAGGGTTTTGCTTAAACCTAGCTTTAGTTGTGCATCAGTCAAGAATCGATTCTGCAAATGCGGTTCTGATAGACCAGCTGATTAGAGGTATTTTTTGCAAAGAGATCTGTCTAAGAACTACTTCAAATATCTCTTATGAACCTTTCAGATATATGAGAAAAAGTTGAAACTAGATTGAGAATTAACTTGCCTTGTCGACATTTTTTGTTTGCAAATCTTGTTTTTCGCAAGCCTTCAGCAGTTTACTTATCAAGCCAAAGTAAAGGTTTTGAGAGCTAAAAATTTTGATAAAAAACATTGGTTGGGGCTCACTGCAGGAGGATTCACTCATCCGCACTTTATTATTTTAAGAGAACTTTTAAGTCTACAAGAGTTTTTTGTTAAAAGATTTGTCACTTAGTACGGTTGAAACATCTTGAGTGCTTAGGATGTTTTTTGCTGACAATCGATAGTCTGGTGTGACAACTTTTTTCTATTATTGCTTTTTGTATGTTTAAAAAATTTGCAGCGTTGTCTTGTATACTTTTTCAATTTTGGCTTTATCATTTTCTTATATTTTCGAGCAGAAAACTATCATTACTTTGTTATCGCAATCCAATGTGCAGAAATAGACACAATGAGGACGGGATAAGGTAGAGCTAAGGAAAATTCTCTGAGTTTTATACAACGCCGAACGTCCCTCGTCTTTTTTTTCTAGTGTTTAAAGTAAAAACAAAATCTTTTTCTATATAGTTTAGTTCTGTTACAAAGTACTATCTCCGTTTTTGAGTAGTCGAAATGCATAGAGGTTTCGTTCATGACAGTTTACAATATAAGCAAAGATTCTGCCAGAAAAATCCTAGTTCACCTTTAGCAGTGCCTGGCGAACCTAGGTCACTAACTTCTCAGCGAATATTTCACAGTTTCTCCCTAAATTTTGTTTCCCACTGAGTTACTCTAAAAATTTTTATAGTTTTTATAGTTACTCCTTACCTGCTATTACGGTCTTCACTAGAAAACTTTCCATCGCCTCGAAAATTGCTTAACTACCCCTTTCTGTTCCTCAGTTTCCTCTCGTGTTAGCTCCTTAGCCTCACTTGTCCTTGGTTCAAGAATCCTCTTTGGCAATGAATAATAGCATATGTTTCAGTAGGCAAGATTGGATATTTGTACACTTATGTTCTCATTTGTTGCTAATGCCTTACTGCATATATATATATATATATATATATATATATA